TGTAGATGAAGGGGAGGAGACAGGTTAAAGAAGGATTTATAAGCCTTGAGACAATTTAGACATGGATTGTGTATGTGTGCCGTTCAGAGGGTGAATGGGCAAGACAGGAAATGTAAGTGCCTTTGAACAGGGTTTGGTAGTAGGTTTATGTCAAGACCTGCAATGCTGGGGGTGTTTGGTATACTCAGTGTATATCAACAGACATTAGAATGATTATCTTAACCTCTTATGGAACATTGTCTCTCCACTGTGTGTGTGTGTGTGTGTGTGTGTGTGTGTGTGTGTGTGTGTGTGTGTGTGTGTGTGCGCGTGCATGTGTGTGCACCTGCATGCATTTATGCACACATACTGTACCCATGCTTTTGTGTGAATCTTCCTCAGGGTGTCAGCACAAACTATGTCCAATCCAATCCTACAATGTCACGTCCGCATGTAAACAGTGTCTCGGAGCCAGAACGCTCCAAACCCAACCAGACAGTTGGGCCAGTACAGACAGACAGTGTTAAGACCTACATTCTTGGCCCCCCCTTAAGGGCAGGAATAAAACCTAGATGGATGCAGGTCATGAGGAGGGTGGTTGCCAGGGGTGACAGTTGGACTGGGGAACCAACTCTTCATGTGGAGGAAAAGCATTAAATGTGATTTGCCAGCTGCCATTGGCATCTGTGAGCACACGCACGCAGAGACAGATTAACATGTTAAAATGATACTGCTGTCAGAAGCACCTCTCAGTGAACAAAAGTAGAGAATGGTTTTTCTGCCCTGATTAATGTAATTATCAGGACTGATCTCACTGGAATTAAAAACACAGTACACTCTGCTGCTTCCAGACGTGGTAAGGCTCAGAGTACATACTGAAGCTTGATCTTAATGCTCACAGATACAGTGTGTGTGTGTGTCTGTGCGTGCGTGTATCTGTGTGTGTGTGCGTGTGTGTGTACGTGTCTGTGTGTGTGTTTGTTTGCGTGTGTGTGTGTGTTTGTTTGTGTGTGTACATGTCTGTGTGTGTGTTTGTGTGCGTGTGTGTGTTTGTTTGCGTGTGTTGGTGTACGTGTCTGTGTGTGTTTGTTTGCATGTGTGTGTGTGTTTGTTTGTGTGTGTACATGTCTGTGTGCGTGTTTGTGTGTGTGTGTGTGTGTCTGTGTGTGTGCATGCTTTAGTCCGTGTGTGTGTCAGGGTTTCCGTTAGAAAATGTGGCTCCTGACATTTGACCTGCAGCATTTTTATTTACTGGACATTTGAGAAATTTACCGGACCCATATGCATTGGGTGCGTAACCGGATAAGGGTGCACACCCATGGGGCACATTTTGATTATGGTAATTCATGTTAATAGAACATGCAAGTCGAGGATGCAACGATGTGCGATCCTTCTTACGGAATTCCGATGGACACTTTGAAGATGTTAGAATAACTTGTATATAATGTTAGAATAATGTACTTTTCCTCAGCCAACAAGATGAGTAACGAACATCAAAATCACTAGCCTATGTCAATCTACTATCCCCATAGTAGAAAAGTTGACCTATTCTATTGGTCAGTTTGTCAAGAAAGAAATAGCCTATTCCAAACAGACTCTGGGACAGCTGTGGAACGATAGATCCCAAATTCATACAACCAATAGGCCTAGGCTACATTATTATTTATTTTTTTAAAGCAATGAGTCTAAAACAACAGATCAGAACGTTTAGCTTAAAATGTTGATAAACTATAATTTCTTCACATTATAATAGCAGCAATACGCACAAGGCAGTAGACTACACACAAATGTTCATTATATAATGTAATTAGTGGGAAAACACTGTTGTCACACATGCGAGCGGTTTCATGTGACAGAGATGAAAATATTTGTTAGAGATTTTGAAAGAGGGGAGATCTAATATGCAACAACTGGCATGGTTTGCTAATATGACTAGGATTGTGCCTTTGGCTAATGGACAATGAAATAAAGTTGATATAAAATAATTGCCTCTACAGATATGGTCTGATTTTGGCTAAGCTACATAAAGCAAGGTAAGAGATACCTCATAATGTGTAGTAAAACATCCAGGTTTCAAACAGTTAAGTATATGTTTTCAAAATGCATACTGCCTCCAGCTCATTACAAAGTGGTGTGACTTGCTGATGAAGCCTGCCTTCCGTTGCCTGTGTTTGCTGTTTGAGATGCTGTAGCAGCAGCTCTCGTGCTGTCTGACAGATTTTATGCTCAAAGGCTCTGTATCTGTATGCTGTATGCGTGTGATAAAATAAGATACATAACGAATATACTGTACACACGCCACTTTAATTCCACTAAATTATGCAACTTAACCTATAGACCGATAAGCATGACCAGTCAAATGTATTTCCATCAACTGGTATTTCCATCAATGAAGAGGCTAAAAAGCATTATTTCGCAATGGGATTTGTTCTTCTTCTCCAGGACAATTGGCCGGTGGCAATTTTATTTATCTGCTTTACTATTTTTTTTATCTGCTTTTCTAACAGAAACCCATGCGTGTGTGCGTGCGGTTCCTTGTGGCTCAGTTGGTAGAGCATGGCACTTGCAACGCCATGGTTGTGGGTTCGATTCCCAAAGGGGACAAGTATGCAAAAGTACGAGAATGTATGCATTCACAACTGTAAGTCGCACTGGATAAGAGCGTCTGGTAAATTACTAAAATGTTCATCTAAAGTGCTGCTGTCACTGTGTAGCTACAGTATGTGTGCTGCACAGTATGAGTCATGCCCTCTGGGTGAGATCATCATCATCATCCAGTACTGTATGACTTAACCCATGGTTTTAGCTTGATTTCTATGAAAACCATGTTATTGTCATCTTCACACACACATCATTCCATGGTGATAACATAACGTCTGTGGGGTGATGGGTTAAAAATGGATCTGGTATCCAGAGAAAACCAGGATTCCTGGGCTTTGACACACATGCACGCATGAACACACACAAACACTAGGAATCCTGCCCTTTGACCCCACCCAGATCTCTGATGGGAGAACACAGCTGGGCAGCTTGGTCATGTGGAGTGTGTTTGCCACTCTGCCACTGGAGCACGTTGGTGTGTCTATGTCTGTGCACCAGTATTTTACATAATGCCATTGTAATCAACAACATAAGCAGATTTCAAGCACTTAGCTAGGAAGATGTCCCATATTGAATCAGCACTTGAAAAGGTCCAGTGTGATGGTTCAAGTGTGAGTGTGATGGTGTGAGTGAGTGATGGTGTGAGTGATTAAGTGTGTGTATATATATACAGTGGGGAGAACAAGTATTTGATACACTGCTGTGTTTGGAGGAAGAAGAAGGATGAGTACAACCCCAAGAACACCATCCCAACCGTGAAGCATGGAGGTGGAAACATCATTCTTTGGGGATGCTTTTCTGCAAAGGGGACAGGACAACTGCACCGTATTGAGGGGAGGATGGATGGGGCCATGTATCGCGGGATCTTGGCCAACAACCTCCTTCCCTCAGTAAGAGCATTGAAGATGGGTCGTGGCTGGGTCTTCCAGCATGACAACGACCCGAAACACACAGCCAGGGCAACTAAGGAGTGGCTCCGTAAGAAGCATCTCAAGGTCCTGGAGTGGCCTAGCCAGTCTCCAGACCTGAATCCAATAGAAAATCTTTGGAGGGAGCTGGAAGTCCGTATTGCCCAGCGACAGCCCCGAAACCTGAAGGATCTGGAGAAGGTCTGTATGGAGGAGTGGGCCAAAATCCCTGCTGCAGTGTGTGCAAACCTGGTCAAGACCTACAGGAAACGTATGATCTCTGTAATTGCAAACAAAGGTTTCTGTACCAAATATTAAGTTCTGCTTTTCTGATGTATCAAATACTTATGTCATGCAATAAAAAGCAAATTAATTACTTAAAAATCATACAATGTGATTTTCTGGATTTTTGTTTTAGATTCCGTCTCTCACAGTTGAAGTGTACCTATGATAACAATTACAGACCTCTACATGCTTTGTAAGTAGGAAAACCTGCAAAATCGGCAGTGTATCAAATACTTGTTCTCCCCACTGTATACACTACCGTTCAAAAGTTTGGGGTCACTTAGATATGTCCTTGTTTTCGAAAGAAAAGCAATATTTTTGTCCATTAAAATAACATCAAATTGATCAGAAATACAGTGGAGACATTGTTAATGTTGTAAATATAATAATAATATGCCATTTAGCAGACGCTTTTATGGGTGGTCCCAGGGATGGCTATTGTAGCTGGAAACGGCTGATCTTTTATTGAATATCTACATAGGCGTACAGAGGCCCATTATCAGCAACCATCAGTCCTGTGTTCCAATGGCACGTTGTGTTTGCTAATCCAAGTTTCTCATTTTAAAAGGCTAATTGATCATTAGAAAACCCTTTTGCAATTATGTTAGCACAGCTGAAAACTGTTGTGCTGATTAAAGAAGCAATAAAACTGGCCTTCTTGAGACTAGTTGAGTATCTGGAGCATCAGCAATTGTGAGTTCGATTACAGGCTCAAAATGGCCAGAAACAAATAACTTTCTTCTGAAACTCGTCAGTCTATTCTTGTTCTGAGAAATGAAGGCTATTCTATGCGAGAAATTGCCAAGAAACTGAAGATCTCGTACAACGCTGTGTACTACTCCCTTCACAGAACAGCGCAAACTGGCTCTAACCAGAATAGAAAGAGGAGTGGGAGGCCCCGGTGCACAACTGAGCAAGAGGACAAATACATTAGAGTGTCTAGTTTGAGAAACAGGCACCTCACAGGTCCTCAACTGGCAGCTTCATTAAATAGGACCCGCAAAACACCAGTCTCAACGTCAACAGTGAAGAGGCGACTCCGGGATGCTGACCTTCTATGCAGAGTTGCAAATAAAAAACCATATCTCAGACTGCCCATCTATTGGCCAGTCTGAGATATGGCTTTATTACTCCCGTATGAGTGGACAAAAATTCTCATCAGCACCCCCTACCAAAAACAACTTCCCACGGCCATGTGATGTGGTATCCTCCTTTCTAGGGACAGGTATGGATGCAGACTTCACTGCCTTAGAAGGTGGGTGGAGAGAGACAGGGAGGGGACTGTGGCAAGAGAATGTGAGAATAATGTGGGAATTATGTGGATGTGGTGTGGGTCTTTCTGGGGAGAGAGAGAGAGAGATAATTGATGTAGACAGTGGGAGGTAGTGAGAGAGGGGGAGGTAGGGGATGGGGGGGGGGGTTGATAACGTAGAGAGAGGGGAGGGCAAAGAGACAGAGAATGTGAGAAGACGTAGATTTCAACAGGATCAGATTTCCATCCCAGTGTCACTCTTGAACGTGTAACACCTCTAGACGCTTTTTAGGAGTAATCTCAGTGACGTGTGTGTAATCTGTGCGTGCGTTCATCCGTGTGTATGTGCTGGATAGAGATTACAGAGTGTGTATGTGCTGGATAGAGATTACAGAGTGTGTATGTGCTGGATAGAGATTACAGCGTGTGTATGTGCTGGATAGAGATTACAGTGTGTGTATGTGCTGGATATAGATTACAGAGTGTGTATGTGCTGGATAGAGATTACAGAGTGTGTATGTGCTGGATAGAGATTACAGCGTGTGTATGTGCTGGATAGAGATTACAGCGTGTGTATGTGCTGGATAGAGATTACAGCGTGTGTATGTGCTGGATATAGATTACAGAGTGTGTATGTGCTGGATAGAGATTACAGCGTGTGTATGTGCTGGATATAGATTACAGAGTGTGTATGTGCTGGATAGAAATTACAGCGTTGCCTTAGTGCTTGTTTTACACGTCCACCTACCTCCCTCCCACACTATGGTTTACTTCCCAAATGGTACCCTATTCCCTATTTAGTGTACTACTTTTGAACAGGGCCCATAGGGCTGCAGACATGTTCACTTACTCAGTTTAATCTCCATCCTGTTTCTTCCACGTTACTTACTGATTCCTCCTGAAACATACACAGCCTTATTAATACCCTCTTATTCATCTCTCTCTCCCCTCTCACTATATCTCTCTCTCTCCCCTCTCACTATATCTCTCTCTCTCCCCCTCTCACTATATCTCTCATCTCTCTCTCGTCTGTCTCTCTCTTTCTGTCTGTCTATATGTCTCACTCCCCCCCCCCCCCCCCCCGCGCTCTCTCCCCCTCTCTGTCTGTCATGTAGAATGATCATGACAGCTCAGACATACTGTCAGGGCCTAGATACATCCAGAGTAGGCTAACAGAGATGGTATTAACATCTGTTTCTCTTGTTTTATGTTGTTGGCAGGAATCGACTACAAGACGACTACGATACTCCTAGACGGAAGAAAAGTCAAGCTGCAGCTCTGGTGAGTGAAGTCACTGTACACAGCACACACTCCCGCGCGTGCACAAACACACACACCCGTCTGTTACCCTGCTAAGCCCATCCCAATTCCACATCAGGGTTATTGGAACATATTGAAACTGTAAATGGGACTCTATGGCCTCGTAGTTCCTGTCCCAAATGGCACCCTGTTTCCTATATAGTGCACAACTTTTGACCAGGTCCCATATGGCTCTATATAGGTGATAGAGTGCAATTTGGTACACAGCCGCTGTTTTATTAGATAGATGATGCTGCCTGTATCGTGTTGATCAGATTAGGAGAAGAATAGAGTATTGTCAGAGAGAGAGAGAGACATTCCTGAGAGTTGTTGTAAGGAGAAGAGCAACGGGAGAGAGAGCTCTGTACAGAGGCTCAATAAGAAACATGTGAGTCTGATTACACTGAGGGGAATTGTAGCCAGATTTGTTAAAGAAGCAGAATAGGGATGAGGGAAAGAAACACACACAGTACACACACACAGTACACACACAGTACACACAGTACACACACACACACAGTACACACACAGTACACACACAGCACACACACACACAGTACACACACAGTACACACACACAGTACACACACACACACACACCACACAGTACACACAGTACACACACACACACACATAGTACACACACAGTACACACAGCACACACACAGTACACACACACACAACACCACAGTACACACACACACACACACACACCACACAGTACACCACACAGTACACACACACAGTACACACACACACACAACACACCCCACACACACACCAACACACACCACACAGACACACACACACACAGTACACACACACACACCACAGTACACACCACACAGTACACACACACACACACCACCACAACCCACACACACACACACACACACACACACACATACACACACAGCAACACAGTACACACACACAACACACATAACACCACACAAACACACCAGTACCACACACACCCAGTACCACACACATACACACACACAGTACACACCCCACACCAGTACACACACAGACACACACATACACACACACATACACACATACACACACACACAGTACACACACAGTCAACACATACACACAACAGACACACATACACACACAGTACACACACACACACTGTACACACACAACCAGTACAACAGTACCAAGCACAACACACATACATACACACAACAATTACACACTACACACACAGTACACCACACACAGTACAACCACACACAACACACACACACAACATCACACACACACACACACAGACACAGTACACACCCACACAGTACACACAGTACACACACAGTACACACACACACAGTACACACACACACACACACAGTACACACACACAGGACACACACACACAGTACACACACACAGTACATACACACACACACACAGTACATACAGTGCCTTCAGAAAGTATTCACACGCCTTGACCTTTTCCACATTTTGTTACAGCATGAATTTAAAATGGATTAAATTACATTTCTTTTTTTTACTAGCCTACACACAATACCCCATAATGCCAAAGTGGAATTATGTTTTTAGAATTTTTTACAAATTAATTAAACATGAAAAGCTGAAATGTCTTGATTCAAAACCCCTTTGTTATGTCAAACCTAAATAAGTTGAGGAGTAAAAATGTGCTTAAAGTCACATAATAAGCTGCATGTACTTAACCGGTGTGCAATAATAGTGTTTAACATGATTTTTGAATGACTACCTCATCTCTGTACCCCACACATACAGTTACAGTGGCTTGCGAAAGTATTCACCCCCTTGGCATTTTTCCTATTTTGTTGCCTTACAACCTGGAATTAAAATTGATTTTGGAGGGGTTTGTATCGTTTGATTTACACAACATGCCTACCACTTTGAAGATGCAAAAAAAAAATATTCTGAAAGAAACAAGAAATAAGACAAAAAAACAGAACTTGAGTGTGCATAACTATTCACCCCCCCCAAAGTCAATACTTTGTAGAGCCACCTTTTGCAGCAAATACAGCTGCAGGTCTCTTGGGGTATGTCTCTATAAGCTTGGCACATCTAGCCACTGGGATTTTTGCCCATCCTTCAAGGCAAAACTGCTCCAGCTCCTTCAAGTTGGATGGGTTCCGCTGGTGTACAGCAATCTTTAAGTCATACCACAGATTCTCAATTGGATTGAGGTCTGGGCTTTGACTAGGCCATTCCAAGACATTTAAATGTTTCCCCTTAAACCACTCAAGTGCTGCTTTAGCAGTATGCTTAAGGTCATTGTCCTGCTGGATGGTGAACCTCTGTCCCAGTCTCAAATCTCTGGAAGACTGAAACAGGTTTCCCTCAAGAATGTCCCTGTATTTAGCGCCATCCATCATTCCTTCAATTCTGACCAGTTTCCCAGTCACTGCCGATGAAAAAACATCCCCACAGCATGATGCTGCCACCACCATTCTTCACTGTGGGGATGGTGTTCTCGGGGTGATGAGAGTTGTTGGGTTTGCGCCAGACATAGCGTTTTCCTTGATGGCCAAAAAGCTCAATTTTAATCTCATCTGACCAGAGTACCTTCTTCCATATGTTTGGGGAGTCTCCCACATGCCTTTTGGCGAACACCAAACGTGTTTGCTTATTTTTTTCTTTAAGCAATGGCTTTTTTCTGTCCACTCTTCCATAAAGCCCAGCTCTGTGGAGTGTACGGCTTAAAATGGTCCTATGGACAGATACTCCAACCTCCGCTGTGGAGCTTTGCAGCTCCTTCAGCGTTATCTTTGGTCTCTTTGTTGCCTCTCTGAGTAATGCCCTCCTTGCCTGGTCTGTGAGTTTTGGTGGGCGGCCCTCTCTTGGCAGGTTTGTTGTTGTGCCATATTCTTTCAATTTTTTAATAATGAATTTAATGGTGCTCTGTGGGATGTTCAAAGTTTCTGATATTTCTTTATAACCCAACCCTGATCTGTACTTCTCCACAACTTTGTCCCTGACCTGTTTGGAGAGCTCCTTGGTCTTCATGGTGCCGCTTGCTTGGTGGTGCCCCTTGCTTAGTGGTGTTGCAGACTCTGGGGCCTTTCAGAACAGGTGTATATATATACTGAGATCATGTGACTTTACAGGTGGACTTTATTTAACTCATTATGTGACTTCTGAAGGTAATTGGTTGCATCAGATCTTATTTAGGGGATTCATAGCAAAGGGGGTGAATACATATGCACTCACCACTTTTCCGTTATTTATTTTTTAGAATTTTCTGAAACAAGTGATTTTTTAAATTTCACTTCACCAATTTGGACTATTTTGTGTATGTCCATTACATGAAATCCAAATAAAAATAAATTTAAATTACAGGTTGTAATGCAACCAAATAGGAAAAACGCCAAGGGGGATGAATACTTGCAAGGCACTGTATCTGTAAGGTCCCACAGTTGAGCAGTGCATTTCAAACACAGATTGAACCGTAAAGACCAGGGAGGTTTTCCAATGCCTCGCAAAGAAGGGCACCTATTGATAGATGGGTAAAAAAAAAAAAAGACATTGAATATCCCATTGAGCATGGTGGAGTGTGTATCAATACACCCAGTCACTACAAAGATACAGGCGTCCTTCCTAACTCAGTTGCTGGAGAGGAAGGAAACCGCTTAGGGATTTCACGATGAGGCCAATGATGATGTCACGACTTCCTCCGAAGCTGCCTCCTCTCCTTGTTCGGGCAGGCTTCGGCGTTCGTCGTCACCGGCCTTCTAGCCACTGCCGCTCCTCATCTCATCATTCCATTTGTTTTGTCTTGTTTATTACACACACCTGGTTCATATCCCCTCATCAGTACCTGTATAAGTGTTCCCTCTGCCCCCTTGTCTTTGTGTGTGATTGTTTATTGTGGAGGAGAGAGAAGCTCGGTGGAGCTCCGTGTATTTTGTATCGCAGGGAATATTCCTCGTGTGCCTTGTCTTTTCCAGTGCGCCTGTTTTGTGCACTGGAGTGTTTTTTACGCATTACTGCTTAACTCTGTGGTTCAGAATAAATCTTGTTATTCTGTGATTTACCCTACTGGTAAAAAAAATGGTTGTCTAGCAATGATCAACAACCAACTTCACAGAGCTTGAAGAATTTTGAAAAGAATAATGGGCAAATGTACAATCCAGGTGTGCAAAGCTCTTAGAGACTTACCCAGAAATACACACAGCTGTACTCACTGCCAAAGGTGATTCTAACATGTATTGACTCAGGGGTGTGAAAACTAATGTAAATTAGATATTTCTGTATTTCATTTTCAATACATTTGCCAAAATGTGTACTTTGTTATTATGGGGTATTGTGTGTAGATAGGTGAAATATATTTTTTTGTAATCCATTTTGAATTCAGGCTGTAACACAACAAAATGTGGAATAAGTCAGGGGGTGTGACTACTTTCTGAAGGCACGGTACACACATGCATGCACACATGCACAGACGCACACTAATCCACATCACACACACACACACTCTGTGGTTCCCATCGTGTGTCCTCTACCCTCCTCCTCTTTACTCCTAACCAATTACCATGAGAGTGCTACTTTTATTTTTAGTGGGTTTTGCTTTCAGTCAAGTCAATATTACATTATTAATCTGGAAACTTTGTTTGATGTTTAAAAGGATGAGACGCGTTAGCACTTTAACAGGAGGGGTGTTAGTAATGCTCTCTATGCTCCTCCCCATGACTACATGCTAATCGCAGCTAGCAAGTGTGGCATTGGGGGAAGGGGAACATTGGTAAAATGCTAGCGTGGCTAGCGTAGCATTAGCGAAGAGCTAGTGAGGCATGGTGGAACATTGGTAAATTATAGCGTGGCTAACATATTAGCAAAGAGCTAGCAAGCGGTTAGCGTGCAGAATTGGCCAGTTGTGAAAATTGGAAACTTGGCAAGGATATCCAATCTGCATGTGAAGTAGGCCTATGGATACACACAACAAGATGATTGCAAATCTGCAGCTTGTGAGAAGAAAGGAGAATATGAGCATTTAAACCATGTATGGTTATTCTCCTATTATTATTATTATTATATTTACCTTTCTATCCCCTATAAAACTAAAGCTTCTCCCTCCATATTAGGCTAGTGTGTAAAAATATGGTATGTGGTGTCAGCATATCAAATCATATCAAGAAACAAGTGTTCAATGTTTTATATGAGCATGACGTGTTATATGTGCATGACTCTCATCGAATTAAAAACACAGCTCAAATCTACTACAGTCAGAAGCCTGGCCTTAGGGCCAGAGAGCGAGTGTGTGTGTGTGTGTGTGTGTGTGTGTGTGTGTGTGTGTGTGTGTGTGTGTGTGTGTATATGTGTGTGTGTGTGTGTGTGTATATGTGTGTGTGTCTGTGCGTGCGTGCGTGCGTGCAAACCCAAACACTGCTCTGGCATCCAGGTCTGGAGAATGCAATCTGGAAACATTTTATTTTTCTTGCTCTGCACTTACCCAATTACATTCTCTTAAATGCTTAATCTTAGTATTTTGGTGCTTATTACACCACAGTAGGGTTTGAATATATGTAGTTAATCCTCTCTTTGTAAGTTATTAGTGTTGCTAAACATAGATAATTGGTGATTGTCTGACCAATTATAGCAATAGATGCCTTTATGAGGTCATGAGAATAGGGGTGGAATGTTGGTGGAATGCTGTGTGATTTGATTGACATATGGTTGACCTCCTGACCCCTTAAAACCCCTTAACCCCTGACCTCTGTGTTGTTTCAGGGACACGTCTGGCCAGGGGCGCTTCTGCACCATCTTCCGCTCTTACTCCAGAGGAGCGCAGGTATGTGTGTTCGTGCGCCTGCGTGCGTGCGTGCGATTGTGTTTGATTGTTTGCCTAGGAGAGTGTGTTTAGCATTTTTCAGTACACTGTTTGATAATGGTTCAGTCTACACACATTATTGTTTCACAATTACAAAACAAATAACGTACAGTGTTTACAGCAGGGGAATGTTTCTCTTGGCTGCTGCTGCTGCTGCACACTGCATAGTAAACCCTAATGTATAAAACCTTACATGGTTCTGTGGAAAACTCAATCAAAGGACAGATTTCATTTCTGAGGAAAGGAATAGCCTTGAGAATTTCAACATAAAGAACACAGTAGCCCATTTGAGAATGTTTTAGAATCACCACATACAACCTGTAAATACTATGCTGTAGGTCTTCACATGCACAAGTCTTACTGGCTGTGCTAATATTATAGAGTGGGTGCATGTGAGTTATTTGTACATGTTTTCACATCCATCTGTATATCAGCACCATCACTACTGACCCCAGCACCCTTTCCTGTGGAAACAGTACAGTATGGGTGGATGGGGGTGCACCTATCTAAACAGGGACAGTGGATGGGCCTGTGCACTGTTCAAAAACAAAACTTTAATGGTACATCATTGTTAGTGGAGCCAGTCCTTTTACCATGTAGGAAATCTATTTAGTTCAACCACATTTATCCCTGATAGGGTGCTACTGAACCCTACTTGCTTTACCGAATCCGAAACCAAGGCTGATCAGCTACTGAGAATTCTCACCTCCTAGGCAATGAATAAAAATGACTTGGTGAATAAAGTTATTATTTTTATGATTGGTACTTATCGGCCCGTTACTGAGTGCAGACTAGGTGTTACCATGGTGACAATGACACCCCCGCAATAGCGAGGCAGCAGGCTGTGCTTCTTGAACACTGTGTCCACATCATAACTAAAGTCATCAGAGTTCAACTGTGTGTGTGTGTGTGTGTGTGTGTGTGTGTATGTATGTGTGCAGTCAGGTCAGGATAAAACAAATAGAAGTCTCACATTCACACACACACACACATCTGTGGCATCTCTAACAGTTCTATGGAATACATACTGATGGAGAATTAGCTTGAATCCTCAGTGTTAGCTACTGGCACCACCAGTGACAGTAAAACGTAATGGCAGTTGGCAGTTGGACAGACTACTCCAGCTAATTGCATTTATACAGGAATGTGCTATTCCCATTAGACTTTCTATAGTTTACACTGTATCCCATTAACTGAATAGTCTGCTTCATTGTCTCTGGCCTCAATTCAATTTGAGTAGCCTACTGTACACAATATCACATAGTTTACTGTGCATCTCCGCTTAGAGAGTGTGTGTGTTTGTGTTTAAAGGCCCACTTTTTTTCAACTGAAAGACGATGTCCAGAGCTTACCCATGATGTGGCACAACAATTGAAGTCAATAAGTCATCGTTTTAATCAAAGTATGATATATTTGGGCTTGAAGTGGGAAATCCGAAGTGGGGGCTTTTTTTTCCCGTGGCAATGCCGTGTGGTTCCCCTATGATATGACATGCTAATACTGTCACGATTTAAACTGAATATGAACCCAAATGCAGACAACTACACCGAGCCAGAGAAGGTTTAACAGGTTTATTTCAAAGTTAAATTGTCCAGGTTTCCAAAAATAGGGGAAGAGCAAGTCCAGGTCTACAGGGAGGGTAACAGATCCAGGGTTCTGAGCAGGAGTGGTACCGTAACGTCCTAGTGTCCGTGGTGAGTCCAAATGTGAGGTCCAGTAGTGGAAAGCAGGATGGTGGTGGCAGGAGTGAAGCGGAGGCAGGAGTCAGGTTCCAATAATCTGTGGCACAGGAGAAATATAAATAGAACCGGCCAAAAACACAAAGAGCGAAAACAAGCAGGTTGAGTCAGCAGCGAGACTAACATGGTCGTCTTGACTATGATCTGACGATGAGTGGCAAGTTTGACCGGGTTTTTAAGGCTGAGGTGATTATGGTGAATGAGCTGCAGCTGGAACCCTGACTCCCGCACACCAGACTTCACTCCTGCAATTAAGAACAGACAGAGGGGAGGGGGAGAGCAGAGAGAGAGAGCTACCTAGTAGCAGTAGGCCTAACAAATACTTTTCAGTTCATATTCATTTTCAGGGCTGTATTTTATTTTATTGTTACACCCACCAGCATGGCATTGTTTATTAATCAGAAACACCTGCACAGTTCTTCCTCTTTGCAAGACACGACTGAGACAAACAGCTTTTCGCTGTAGCCTACACTTGGACCCTTGAGCCATGTAGCAAATTCAAGTAGGGAGTGCAAACTTGTTTTTGAGCTAGTCTGTATATATATACTACCAGTCAAAAGTTTGGACACACCTACTCATTAAAGGGTTTTTCTTTATTTGTACTATTTTTTACATTGTAGAATAATAGTGAAGACATCAAAACTATGAAATAACACATATGGAATCATGTAGTAACCAAAAAAGTGTTAAACAAATCAACATATATTTTATATTTGAGATTCTTCAAATAGCCACCCTTTGCCTTGATGACAGCTTTGCACACTCTTGGCATTCTCTCAACCAGCTTCATGAGGTAGTCACCTGGAATGCATTTCAATTGACAGGTGTGCCTTCTTAAAAGTTAATTTGTGGAATTTGTTTCCTTCTTAATGCGTTTGAGCCAATCAGTTGTGTTGTGACAAGGTGTGTGTGTGGGGGGGAGGGGGGGGGGGGGGGGGGGGGGGGGGTATACAGAAGATAGCCCTATTTGGTAAAATACCAAGTCCATATTATGGCAAGAACAGCTCAAATAAGCAAAGAGAAACGACAGTCCATCATTACTTTAAGACATGGTCAGTTAATACTGAAAGTTTCTTCAAGTGCAGTCGCAAAAACCATCAAGCACTATGATGAAACTGGCTCTCATGAGGACCACCACAGGAATGGAAGACCCAGAGTTAACCTCTGCTGCAGAGGATAAGTTCATTAGAGTTACCAGCCTAAGAAATTGCAGCCAAAATAAATGCTTCACAGAGTTCAAGTCACAGACACATCTCAACATCAACTGTTCAGAGGGGACTATGTGAATCAGGCATTCATGGTCGAATTCCTGCAAAGAAACCACTTCTAAAGGACACCAATAAGAAGAAGAGACCTGCTTGGGCCAAGAAACACGAGCAATGGACATTAGACCGGTGGAAATGTGTCCTTTGGTCTGGAGTCCAAATTGGAGATTTTTGGTTCCAACCGCTGTGTCTTTGTGAGACGCGGTGTGGGTGAACGGATGATCTCTGCATGTGTAGTTCCCACTGTAAAGCATGGAGGAGGAGGTGTTATGGTGTGGGGGTGCTTTGCTGGTGACACTGTCTGTGATTTATTTAGAATTCAAGGCACACTTAACCAGCATGGCTAACACAGTATTCTGCAGCGATACGCCATCCCATCTGGTTTGGGCTTAGTGGGACTATCATTTGTTTTTTAACAGGACAATGACCCAACACACCTCCAGTCTGTGTAAGGGCTATTTTACCAAGAAGGAGAGTGATGGAGTGCTGCATCAGATGACCTGGCCTCCACAATCCCCCAACCTCAACCCAATTGAGATGGTTTGGGATGAGTCGAACGGCAGAGTGAAGGAAAAGCAGCTAACAAGTGCTCATCATATGTGGGAACTCCTTCAAGACTGTTGGAAAAGCATTCCAGGTGAAGCTGGTTGAGAGAATGCCAAGAGTGTGAAAAGCTGTCATCAAGGCAAAGGGTGGCTATTTGAAGAATCTCAAATATAAAATATATTTTGATTTGTTTAACACTTTTTTGGTTACTACATGATTCCATGTGTTATTTCATAGTTTCGATGTCTTCACTATTATTCTACAATGTAGAAAATACTAAAAATAAATAAAAACCCTTGGTACTGTATATATATATATATATATATATATATATATATATATATATATATATATATATATATATATATATATATATATACAGTACCAGTCAAAAGTTTGGACACGCCGACTCATTCAAGGGTTTTTCTTATATATAGATAGATAGATAGATAGATAGATAGATAGATAGATAGATAGATAGATAGATAGATAGATAGATAGATAGATAGATAGATAGATAGATACACTGACAGCTGTCAGTTCCCTATTTGTTGCTGTTTCTCCGGTCCACGTTTAAACCACCAGGACATTCCGAGGTGGAACCTAAACAAGCATTTACACTCTAAGGCAAGAATTGTGTTGAAAATATGGGCGGCATTGCTCTCTGGTGGGCGCCTTTAGGAGTGCATGCTGGATACCATTCCATTCTTGTTTTATGATTACCTCTCTCTCTATTCTCCCCAATACCTCTCTCTCTATTAATACCTCTCTCTCTCTCACCCTTTCTCTCGTGCTGGAATGTATAGCTGCCGTTTTATAGGCTCCTGGGCTATTTTGTGTTTTTTTGTACATAATGTTTCCGCCATCGTTTCCTATTACCGAAAAGATATTCTGGACATCAGAAAAGCAATCACTAACCTCTATTTGGATGAAGATTTCTACTTCAATGAGTCAGGGGCACAGGACATACTGCTCACCACGGACCAGGCCCTAATTTCCAACACTCGGAAGAGAAAGAGATGCGATAGACGCCGACGTGCGGGTACCCTGATGAAAATATGCCGATGAGTATATAATCTGCCTCTACCCTCTGTTCTATTGGCGAATGTACAATCACTGGAGAACAAACTGGACGAACTCCGTTCGAGACTATCCTATCAACGGGACCTGAAGAACTGTAATATCCTATGTCTCTTGGAAACTTGGCTGAACAAGGACATGGATAATATTTAGGCAGTTTTTTCTATGCAACAGCAGGACAAAACGGCAGTGTTGGGTAAGCTCAAGGGGGTTGTGTGTTTCTCTTTGTTAACAACAGCTGGTGCACAATTTCTAATATTAAGGAAGTTTCAAGGTTCTGCTCGCATGAGTTAGAATACCTCATGATAAGCTGTAGACCATACTATTTACCACGAGAGTTTATCTATATTTTTCGTAGCTTTCTCTTTACCACCAAAAACCGATGTTGGCACTAAGACCACACTCAACGAGCTGTAGAGGGCCATAAGTAAACAAGAAAATGCTCATCATTTTAATGCAGGAAAACTGAAATCAGTCTTACCTAATTTCTACCAGCATGTCACCTGTGCAACTAGAGGCGAAAAAAAACTCTAGATTCACCTTTACTCCACACACAGAAAAGCATTCAAAGCTCTCCCTCACCCTCCATTTGGCAAGTCTGACCATAACTCTATCCTCCTGATTCCTGCTTACAAGCAAAACCTCAAACAGGAAATACCAGTGACGCACTCAATATGGAAGTGGTCCGATGAAGCATATGATAAGCTACAGGACTGACATCAGTCACCGGCTTCATCAATAAGTGCATCGATGACGTTGTCCCCACAGTGACCGTGGAAAGGCTAGAGCTGTCGCTTTCAAGGAGCGGGACACTAACCTGGATGCTAATAAGAAATCCTGCTATGCCCTCCAACAAACCATCAAACAGGCAAAGCATCAATACAGGACTAAGATCGAATCCTACTACAAGGCAAGGCAAGCAAAACTGAACCATACATGAGAACACCAGCTGTTCCGGATGTCTGTGTGATCACGCTCTCTGTAGCCAACGTGAGTAAGACCTTTAAACAGGTTAACATTCACAAGGCCGCAGGGCCAGATGGATTACCATGACGCGTACTCAGAGCATGCGCTGACCAGCTGGCAATTGTCTGTGCTGACATTTTATTTTTGTGTTTTTTTTGTGTGTTACCCCATTTTTCTCCCCAATTTCGTGGTATCCAATTGGTAGCTACAGTCTTGTCCCATCGCTGCAACTCCCGTATGGACTCGGGAGAGGCGAAGGTCGAGAGCCGTGCGTCCTCCGAAACACAACCCAACCAAGCCACACTGCTTCTTGACACAATGCCCGCTTAACCCGGAAGCCAGCCGCACCAATGTGTCGGAGGAAACACCGTCCACCTGGTGACTGTGTCAGCGTGCACTGCGCCCGGGCCAACACAGGAGTCGCTAGTGCGCGATGGGACAAGAACATCCCTGCCGGCCAAACCCTCCCCTAACCTGGACGACGCTGGGCCAATTGTGCGCTGCCCATGGGTCTCCCGGTTGCACTGACATGTTCAACCTCTCCCTGACCCAGTCTGTAATACCTACATGTTTTAAGCAGACCACCCTAGTCCCTGTGCCCAAGAACACCAAGGTAGCCTGTCTAAATGACTATCACCCCGTAGCACTCACATCTGTAGCCATGAAATGCTTTGAAAGGCTGGTCATGGCTCACATCAACACCATCATCCCAGACATCCTGGACCACTCCAATTCGCATACTGCCCCAACAGATACACAGATGACGCAATCTTTATTGCACTCCACACTGCCTTTTCCCACTTGGATAAAAGGAACACCTACGTGAGAATACTGTTCATTGACTACAGCTCAGCGTTCAACACCGTAGTGCCCTCCAAGCTCATCACCAAGCTAAGGACCCTGGGACAAAACATCCCCCTCTGCAACTGGATCTTGGACTTCCTGAGGGGACGCCCCCAGGTGGTGAGGATAGACAACAACACATCCGCCACGGTGACCCTCCTGTACTCCCTGTTCACCCACGAAACCGTGGTCGCACACGACTCCAACACTATTATTACGTTTGCCAACGACACGACAGTGGTAGGCCTGATCACTGACGATGATGAGACAGCCTATAGGGAGGAGGTCAGAGACCTGGCAGTATGGTCAAGTTGGTTGTTAATCATTGCTAGACAGTCATTGCCAAGTCTTGCCATAGATTTTCAAGCTTATTTAATTCAAAACTGTAACTAGGCCGCTCAGGAACATTCAATGTCATCTTGGTAAGCAACTCCAGTTTATATTTGGCATTGTGTTCTAGGTTATTATCCTGCTGAAAGGTAGATTTGTCTCACAGTGTCTGTTGGAAAGGAGACTGAACCAGCTTTTCCTCTAGGATTTTCCCTGTGCTTAGCTCTATTCTGTTTCTTTTTATCCTAAAAAACTCCCTAGTCCTTGCCGATGACAAGCATACCCATAACATGATGCAGCCACCACCATGCTTAAAAATATGAAGAGTGGTACTCAGTAATGTGTTGTGTTGGATTTTCCCCCAAACATAACGCTTTGTATTCAGGACATAAAGTTAATTTCTTCTCAATTTTCTTTGCAGTTTTACTTTAGTGCCTTATTGCAAACAGGATGCATGTTTTGGAATATTTTTTATTCTGTACAGGCTTCTTTTCACTCTGTCATTTAGGTTAGTATTGTGGATTAGCTAAAATGTTGTCGATCCATCCTCAGCTTTCTCCTATCACAGCCATTAAACTCGGTGACTGTTTTAAAGTCACACTTGGTGAAATCCCTGAGCAGTTTCCTTCATCTCCGGCAACTGAGTTAGGAAGGACGCCTGTATCTTTGTAGTGACTAGGTGTATTGATACACCATCCAAAGTGTAATTAATAACTTCACCATTCTCAATGGGATAGTCAATGTCTTGTTTTTTTTTTTTTTTTTACCAATCTACCAACAGGTGCCCTTCTTTGCAAGGCATTGGAAAACCTCCCGTGTCTTTGTGGTTGAATCCGTGTTTGAAATTCACTGCTCAATTGAGGGACCTTACATATAATTGTATGTGTGGGGTACAGAGATGACATAGTCATTCGAAAATCATGTTGAACACTATTATTGCGCACAGAGTAAGTCCATGCAACTTATTATGTGACTTGTTAAGCACATTTTTAGTCCTGAACTTATTTAGGCTTGCCATAACAAAGGGGTTGAATACTTATTGACTCAGCTTTTCATTTGTAAACATTTCTAAAAACATAATTCCACTTTGTCATTATGGGGTATTGTGTCTAGGCCAGTGACACACAATCTCAATTTTATCCATTTTAATTTCAGGCTGTAACACAACAAAATGTGTGAATACTTTCTGAAGGCACTGTATGGTCACACCAACACAGTCGTGAAAAGGGCACGACAGCACCTCTTCCCCTCAGGAGGCTGAAAAGATTTGGCATGGGCCCTCAGATCCTCAAAATGTTCTACAGCTGCATCATTGAGAGCATCTTGACTGGCTGCATCACCTCTTGGAATGGCAACTGCTTGGCATCTGACCGCAAGGCGCTACAGAGGGTAGTGCTACACAGGGTAGTGCTACAGAGGGTAGTGCTACAGAGGGTAGTGCTACAGAGGGTAGTGCTACACAGGGTAGTGTTACACAGGGTAGTGCTACAGAGGGTAGTGCTACAGAGGGTAGTGCTACAGAGGGTAGTGCTACAGAGGGTAGTGCTACAGAGGGTAGTGCTACACAGGGTAGTGCTACAGAGGGTAGTGCTACAGAGGGTAGTGCGCTCCAGCCACCCAATTCATAGACTGTTCTCTCTGCTAGCACACGGCAAGCGGTACCGATGTACCAAGTCTGGAACCAACAGGACCCTGAACAGCCTCTACCCCAAAGCCATAAGACTGCTAAATAGTTTGTTAAATAGTTAACCAAATAGCTACACGGACTACCTACAATGACCTTTTTTGCACAAAGTTTTTTGACTAATCACGTATTCTGCTGCTACTGTTTACTATCTGTAACTTTATTCCTAGGTATATGTACATATCTACCTCAATTACCTCGTACCCTTGCACATCGACTTGGTACTGGTACCCCTTGTCTATAGCCAAGTTATTGTTACTCATTGTGTATCTATTATTACTTTTATTATTACGTGTTTTACTCTTCTATTATTTCTCTTTCTCTCTGCAGTGTTGGGAAGGGCCCATAAGTAAGCATTTCACTGTTAGTCCACACCTGTTGTTTACGAAGCATGTGATTAATACAATTTTTGATTTGATCTCTCAGGGTGTGATCTTGGTTTATGACATCACCAACCGATGGTCCTTTGATGGTATTGACAGATGGATTAAGGAGATAGATGAGGTAAGAGACATCGATCAATCGCTCTCTCTCAGAAACAGTAAACCTCAGCTGTGTCCCAAATTGCACCCTATTCCCTATTCCCCAAAGGGCTCTGGTCAAAAGTAGTGCACTATAAAGGGAATAGGGTGCCATTTGGGATGCAAATACATTGTAAATTGCAGCCTACATCACTGAATCGCTCCTATTGCTCTATGATGTAAGACACGTTGCTCAATATCTGCTTGTGAAAATGACTAAACCTTCTCCAACCCACATCTCTCGCCTTTGCTCCAAAACAACTCACACACTCATAAACTAGCCACACACAGAGTTACTTTCAAGATAGCCCATGTTATGTGAATAATATTATTCACCTTCAATGAAAAAGAAAACATGCTAGTATTCTGAACGATTGATTCTTGACATGCTTTTTGCCCCCTTGGGACCTTTTATTACCACTCCATTATTTTACTTATTACAGGGAAGTACACTATGTAACACATATGCATACACACACCCTTATCCACCCTGGTGTGCTAACAGAATCTGTACCTCACCACTTTCTATTCCCCTTCCTGTCTACCCAGCATGCACCGGGAGTGCCTAAGATCCTGGTGGGGAACCGGTTACATCTGGCCTACAAGCGCCAGGTGACCACAGAGCAGGCCCAGGTGTACGCCGAGAGGTTAGGGGTCACCTTCTTCGAGGTCAGCCCGCTGTGCAACTTTAACATCACAGAGTCCTTCACAGAGCTGGCCAGGATAGTCCTGATGAGGCACGGCATGGAGAGACTCTGGAGGCCTAACAAAGGTGAGAGGGAGCGAGGGAGGGAGGGAGCAAGGGGGAGAGAGAGAGAGTGTGTGTGTGTGTGTGTGTGTGAGTGAGAGAGACTTTGGAGACCCAACAAAGGTGAAGCAGTGTACACTGAGCCTATAGTAGCTTATTCTTACTCTCTCTCTTACTGTTTTACACAATGGTGCCCTCTCGTGGTGTAATATTGCTATTTGTGAAATATTAAATATTATTTCTCTCCCCCCCCCCCCCTCTCTCTTAGTTTTAAGTCTTCAGGACCTGTGCTGTCGTTCTATCGTGTCCTGCACCCCTGTCCACCTTGTTGACAAGCTTCCTCTCCCCCTGGCCCTCAAGTCCCACCTCAAGTCTTTCTCCATGGCCAATGGCCTCAATGCCCGCATGATGCACGGACGCTCCTACTCCGTCACTGCCACTGCTGCCAACACCACCCACATCGCCACCAAGAGGACCGGATGCCAGCTGCTGAAAAATAAAAAACTATTCCGCCCTCCGCCGCTCAGCCCGGCGGCCGCACAGAGCTGCTCTGGCAACAGCTGCAAGATCTCCTAGCCACCGGCTGAAACAGGAAGAGGAAGTCCTTGGGGCAGGATGTTGTCATCACATGGACAGGAAGTTGGTGTTGATCACTGGTGCAGCCAAAGATGGTGGATAAATGAAGATATCCCACTCAGGCCGTTTACCATTGAAAAGCATTGTCACAGTTCTGGGCTGCTTAAGGGGTGGCTCTCCCATAGGCACCAATGTATTAGCAGCTGGGTCTGGTCTACTTAGTTCATTGACTGTATATGAGCGAGTGAGATGTCTTCCTTTCTCTTCCGTCTCTGGTGCAGCCATAGACTTAGATAGACATCGCATCATTATATCTGTCCCATTATAATAATAATTTCGTAGGTGCTTACAAGTGTGTATTAATACACATGTGAATTGGAAATACGTTTTTTTGCATATCCCAACGCTCCCTGAGACACCCTCGGAGAGTAGGGTCACGGCCAGGGTCTGCCATTATCAACAGCATCCTTGGAGCAATTAGGGTTAAGTGCTTTGCTCAAGGGCACATTGGCAGATGTTTCACCTTGTCGGCTCATGGATTAGAACTAGCAACCTTTCAGTTACTAGACCAACGCTCTAACCGCTAAGCTACCTGCTTCATTGTGGAGTTTGTGAGAGCACAGGCAGTGCCATTTAGACCATCTCCATTATAAAGTAGGCAATTTTCTTCTTCTACTACTTATATGAGTTGGCAAACAACTGAAAGGGAGCATACTGCCACCTGGAGTGTGTGGTTTGAACAGGTATAAAGGTTGGCGATTTACTGGCACCTGCAGTTATGGAATGTTTGCTCACGAGTATAATTAATTGGCTGATACCTCCTGGTGACCTGGATGAAATTATGTGATCCTTCCTTAACCCATAGGAAGTCCCACCCAGTTGACTACTTCCAAATGGTGTAAGTCCTCAATGGCGCTGCCCGTGCTAAAACAGGCTTTTGGGCACTAGAGTCCTCTATCTATTTCTATGGGTGCAGCTCGTCTAGGCTCATCAAGAGCCAGCCACATGAGCTTCAAGGGAGTGTTCAATGAGAGTTACCCCTCACAGCCCCCCATGTACTCCCCCAAACCAGGAAGTTTTCATAGGGACTGGATGTTCTAGGCCTTCAGACCCACAAGAGTCTCCCACAGGCACTCACAGGAGCTCCATAGTGGGACAAAGATGGGGAAGGAACGTGTCATGCTCAGAGATTGTGGATTAGCACTATGGGTCACTGCCCTTGGACCCAGAAGGAAGTTTTGATGCCAGATTGTGTGTGAGCCATATGACTATATTGTGCACAGAGATGGGGAGTATTTCTGTTACATGTATTTGAAATAGGTATTTCAATTACTTTTTAAATGTATTTGGTCATTTGTATTTCACCGGCCTGAACTACAATTCAATGTATTTTGTAACAAGATACTTTTGAGACCTGTCATTTGTATTTTCAAAATACAAAATACTTTTCTATACCATTTTTTTATGGCGGTTCACAATTTTGTGGCCTTTCACCCTGCATTGGTATCAGAAGTCTGATGGCACTATGGTGTGATTAGAGTGTCTGCTAAATGACCGAAATGTAAATGTAAAAATGAACACTTGCAAAGCATGCTGGGTATTATTCTAATGAGCTCCGCCCCCAAAACAAGGCCAATAATAATAATAATACTCAGTGTGCTTTGCAATTATTTATTTTTACTTTTTCATTTACCTTTTGGTCATTTAGCAGACACTATTATCCAAAGTGACTTACAGTCAGTGCTTTCAACTAACCACATATCACATCAACGGTAAAAGTATTTTTTTTTACCGTTACTGAGAATGTTGTTGTAGTGAAGGCGTATACTTGCAAATGTATTTTGTATTTCGAAATAACAAAATACTTCAATATATCTGTATTTCATGTAAATACAATACGTTGCTAAAGTATTTTGTATTTTAGTTTGGTACATTGGTCTTTAGAGTATATTGTATTTGAACAAGATACATTTTGATTTATCTTTTGCCCATCTCTGATTGTGCATAATATATTTCCAGAAAAACAATGAACATATGTACTGTGTAGAAATATAGTACTAAATAATACTATTGTCTACAATATTTGTGGATGAGCTGTGGTCCTTTTTGCACTGTTTCCTCACCCACTGCAGTCAATGACACAAAGCATTCAAATTAGTTTTACACCTGTGGTCTAATTTCACAATGAAAGAAACGTTACTGGACTGGTCTTATAAATGGTATACTAAATCCCTTTTAAAAAATGCTGGACAAAGCCTTTTTAAGATCTAGCTACTTGTTTTACACATACTTCTTACAGTAAAATACTATTTCTGCCGAAGTCATCTGGAACTTCAAGTCGGCAATTCTTTGGAGAAACCATTTGTGTAATGAATTTGTATGATATGTACAGTTATGACAATGTTGTTTGATACAATGTATTTTTTCTGTTATTTGCTGCTGGGTTTGTATCCATTTCCAAGTGTACAGTGACAGAGATTATACTATTTCAGATAGTGACACCAACACCAAAGATTTAGTAGATAAAGACTGAGGACGTTATTGAATGAATAAGCTGTTTTGTACAGTAAATATCACCACACGGATTTACAATAAACTTCACAAACAGGAACTGTCTTCTCTGCTCAGATAATAATAATAATAATAATAATAATAATGATTGATAGCATTTATATTACGCTTTTCCACATTCTCAAAGCGCTGTAAGGGGGGAAACTCACCTCATCTCACCTGATCATGTTTTTACCCACATGTCCCTCATGAAACCCTGAAAACAATGGGTGTATTCCATGTCACCCACTAGCTTTACCAGATAGCGCTTTACAAAGGAGGAGGTATGAGTATTGTTACATATTGTATCTAATGAGGACCTGTATGGTTTCATAGCTGTTTCCAAATGATGTGTGACAGGCTCAGCCATCAAGCAAGAACAGGTACTGTAAATACATTGCTTTTAAAATTAATCAGAAAAGCTGAGAAATGGACCCTCGGAAAGCTTTCCTCATTATTTTGGTCCTGTCTGTATTCGGTCTCTTTGGTTATGTGTTGTTCTTCAATAAGAGTGTCAACAAGAGGACCAGCATTCGGTAAGTCCTCATCATAGCAAAGACTCCATAGGTGTACATGTGTTGTATTTAAAACCCAGGCTAACACAAAGTGCTATTATCAGGTTTTGATAATAGCATTTCAGCGATAATGGGAGGGAGGGGCTGCTTTCAATTCTTCATAATATTTAAATGTACAAAAAAAGATTTGATGTATTTAGACTGTGATATGTGGTCATACCTTAAGATGAATGCACTAACTGTATGCCACCCTGGATAACATCATCTGCTAAATTAATAAAATGTAAATGTAGATACTCAATTTTATGTTATTGTTTGTAAATACAGACCTATTCAATCAGGCCCAGGTCTAGAGCATGTGGGGGGCAACCGGACAGCCCTAGGGAAGTAAAGGGGATCCCCTGACAGTCATGAGATTTCTATTTGATTTATTTGTACTTTTACCGCTTTTTCCCCCCCAATTGGTAGTTACAGTCATGTCTCATCGCTGCAACTCCCCTACAGACTCGGTAGAGGCGAAGGTTGAGAGCCATGCATCTGCCGAAACAGGACCCTGCCAAGCAGCACTGCTTCTTGACACACTGCTCGCTTAACCCAGAAGCCAGCCGCACCAATGTGTCAGAGGAAACACCGTCCAACTGACGACCAAAGTCAGCTTGCATGCCCGCCACAAGGAGTCACTAGAGCACGATGAGACAAGGAAATCCCGGCTGGCCAAACCCTCCCCTAACCCGGACGATGCTGGGCCAATTGTGCGCCGCCTCATGGGTCTGTGACACAGCCTGGGATCGAACCCAGGGCTGTAGTGACGCCTCAAGCACTGCGATGCAGGAGGTCATAAGAGGAATTTCAAGCGTCTACCTGACTGGGCCTTTGATAACCTGTATCACCTGGACCCTACACCGAGACGCAATGTGAGTTACCCTGGCTATAGAAACCTACACTGAGACACACTGTGAGTTACCCCGGCTATAGGACCCTACACCCAGATACACTATGAGTTATCCCGGCTACTGGACAACAACTTGGTGGGCTTTGTATAATACCGTTATGCAGTGACCCAATGCATAACAGTAATCATTTTCAGGAAACTCTTTTGTATTTAATTGTCAAATCTATATATTAGTACCTTGAAGCAAATACAGTTTGTTGTTCACAAAGGACATGTCATTCAGATTTAGTGCAGTCCTTGTGTATTTACTCTCTCTGTGTTTAGAGACCTGTGCAGAGTTCATTAGGAATTCCAACGATCCAGAGTTTCAGAAGGCCTTTATTACCGACATACAGCTCTTCCTGGACAGAGACCAGCTCAGTAGTGTTAGTGAATGGAACCGACTGGCCCATTTCAACAACCCCTTTAGTTTCATGGGTTACAACTACACAGGTAATCTCTCTCTCTCGCTCCCGCTCTCTCTCGCTCTCTTGCTTTGATTGAGTGTGTGTACACATACTATATGTTGACCCATGGGGCGGCGCACAATTGGCCCAGCGTCGTCCAGGGTAGGGAGGAAATGGCCGGCAGGGATGTAGCTCAGTTGATAGAGCATGGCGTTTGCAACGCCAGGGTTGTGGGTTCGATTCCCACAGGGGGTATGAAAAATAAATAATGTATGCACTAACTGTAAGTCGCTCTGGATAAGAGCGTCTGCTAAATGACTAAAATGTAATGTTATGACAAATTGCTTGGGAAAAATATACGATTTCTAAGCAGCCAATGTCACTAGGCAAGTGGATGGCAGCAATTAGACTTGTTCTTTACGCACCTCAAACTTAGCAATAGTGGGTACCTTGAATAAATGCATGTTGATCTGTAGAGTTGACTGTAGCAATCTTTTGTATCTTGTTTGGTGTTTATTGTGTTTTCTTGCATTTGTTTGCATTAGTTTGATTGAAGTAAGAACCGTGAGCTCTCCCACAATCCACACACACACCATA